CCTCCCCCACTTGCACTCTGTCTGTCTGTCTCTCTCTCTCTCAAAAATAAATGAACATTAAAAGAAAACTCTAAAAAACTCAAAAAAATAAAAGTAAAATCTTTAAAACAAACAAACATGATTTCTCCTCAAAGAGCTTTCAGTCAAACTGGGAAGAAGATAACAATGTGAGTGGGAAGAAATTGGTACAGATTTTTTACTATAGAAATTACTATAAGATTTGCTTTAAAGTAAACTCTGTGCCCAATGTGGGGCTCCAACTCATGACCCGTGATCAAGAATCACATGCTCTACCAACTGAGCCAGCCAAGCACCCCTAATTACTATAATATTTTATTCAACAAATATTTATTAAGCTCCCACTGCACGCAGAGCAGTGTATTAGGTTCCGGAGATACAAAGATAAATTAGACATAGTCCCTGCCCTCAGGGATGTCATAGTCAGTGTTGTGGGGGGGAGGCTGCATCACAGAAATAGACAACAGTATTCCACTATTCTTGCCTCACCCTCCCTATCCAATTCAAGGAATAAGGCATTAGTGAGCCCATCAGATAACAGCAGCTTAGAGCCCAGCCATCTATACTTAGGCACGACATCCACCTTGGGTCTGACACAGAGGATGCCCCATAGTAACCTCAATCCCACACTGATCCCAACCCCACATGGATTCCCCCAGATTTTGCTCCAGCACAACATCTGTCTATGGAGCCCTTAGGATGTGATGGGTTGAGGGACAAGAGAAGAAGGAGCTAGTGGGGTTGAGAATAGAGGATGAGACCCAGGGGGTCCTGAGGGAAAGCTCCCCAGAAGGTAGAGAGAAGCCTGGGAGTGCAGGGGTGGGACCTCTCAGGTCATGGGCTGACCTTCTGGCCGCTGGATGCAGGTGTGCTGGTTGTCGCTGAGGAAGAAGCCCTCCCGGCAGTGGCACTCATAGCTGCCCATCATGTTGACACAGCTCTGCTGACAGCCACCATTGCCCTCGGCACACTCGTCCACATCTGTGTAGGATAGGTGGTTGGTGAGGCCATGGGGTGCAGGCCAGGCTCCAGAGTATGCCCCGAGACTTCAGCACCAAGGGCTGAAACAGTCTTAAGAATCTAGCACACACTTCCCGACTCTAATTCAGCACCCAGCCTCAGGCCAGCAAGTTCTCACCCACTCATCAGCTAATATTTCACTGTTTTTGAAGAGGCCACCCAAAGAGGGCAGAGCTGGGGAGCTAAACAGGTGGAGAGGGGACATTTAAACCTGGCTCACTTAGGTGAAGACTTGCCTCCCTTTCACTCACTTGTCGGAATTGGGTGTGAAGCCAGGGGAAATCAGGAAAGGAGCCAGGGTAAGAGGCACAGAGGTGAAAATAAAGATGGAGACTGGTCAGGAAGAGAAATGGGCAGTTGGTGGCAGCCAGGGAATGAGAGAACCTGGGATCTGGTTCTAAGTGCAGGGAGAACTATGGCCATGGTGCTGAGGTCTGAGGGGCAACAATGGGTAAAGGCAGCAAGCCTCAACTCCTCGCAGGGCAGGGACCATTTTTGTGGACAGGCTACGGCCCCATCCTTCCTCTCCTCCCTCCCCATGCCTGGGCTTGCTGCCATAGTCCCTAGCCTTTCTCCTATTTTGGTTTAACAAAACAGTCTGGTAGCTTGGCGAGGAGGGATGGGAGGAGAGCTGCCAGGCCACACCCTAATCACCACCCCAAATCACCACCCTCAGGTCCCAGAGCTAAGCTTATTTGGGGGCTCTCACTTGAATGCCTTGACTCCCTCTCTGTGCTACCTACTGCCCTCCCAAATCCATAGCCCCTCTCTGTCTTCCTTGGCCCAGGAGGCATCAGGGAGATTGGTCTCCAAACAGAGGAGCTGGAATTAGAGCTCCTGAGGCCCTCAACTGCTCCTCTCTTCCCATCCTCTCTGTTGATCCCTGAAACCCTGTCCTTTCCCCCATCTGGCCAAGGGCAGAGGGGCACGGATCCAGCAGGTTCCTGCCTGAGAGGTATACTTTCCTTTGCCTTATTCTTGTCCCTTCCCCCTGTCACTACACCCCTGATTTCTCCCCATCCGTCTTCCACTGTGGCCCATCCTACATTCCATCCTTCCATATGCTCCCTTCTAATCCAACCTTATGACTTTGCTGCTCTAGCCAAGTTCTTTCCTCCAATTCTCAGTGGAGAAACAGATCTGGGGCATGGATGACTTAGGGTTCCCCTAAAAGCCAAAGGAAGAGTTGAGGCTTTGAACCCCAACCCTGGGGGTAGGGTTAGGTAGACCTCTGCTCCCTCTGACCCTTTCCATACCTACTCATTCTCTTATCCCTCTGGCTAGTTTCCCCCCAAACACAGGGAAATAAGACTTGGTGAGAATCAGGGGCCTAGTAAGGTCAAAGGCAACCAAACACCAGAAGCTGATGTTTCCGGTCCTGCAGGAAACTCTCTGTCCTGGTCAAAGTGTCACAGCTTCTCTTTCCAAAGGAGTCCCCAAAGAGGCCCTCACAAATAACTGGGCGGAAAAGTGAGGTCCTTCCCGGTAGCTACAGTGGTGGGAGAGGTGGCCAGGGCTGGGGGGGAAGGGTCCAGCAGGAATCAGGATGTAAAGGCCCGGGTTGGGAGTAGAAGCATGTAAGCCTGGTCCAAAGATGGAATGTGACTGGGTTTAGAGGCAGCTCTGTAGCAAGGAGGCTCTCAGACTAATAGAACGTCAGATAATTCACTGGTTTGGTCAGTTGGGGAGGCAGCCTAGCTGCTTTTCTGGGCATCATTCCTCTTACTTCTCTTCCTTTCCTGGTCTTCTAGTCTTCCAGTCTCCTATTTTTGTTCTGAGAGCAGAGAGGAAGAATTTGGAAAAGGACCCCTGGCTTCACATCTCAATTCCTGTTCTGCTATGGGCTTCAGTTTTTCTGCTTGGGGAAGAATCTGACATGGTCCCAGTAATTTTCCAAAAAGATGTGAGACCAAAGTTGAGTTTAGTGCCCTAGAGATTCTCCTATCTCTGCTCCAGCCCCTGGGATAAAGATCAGGTCAGATTGAGGCCTAAGAAGTGAGGAGAGGGTGAACCTGGAGATTGCAGGATGAGCTGGGAGAAAACCAGCCTCAAGGGCCAGAGGCTTCCCAGGGCCAGGGAAGAAGCATCATCATCATCACCATCATCATCATCATCATCAACAACAACATTCCTCCCATGTATTGAACACCTACTCTGCTAAGGATTGTACAGGGCTCTTTATACATGTTGTCTCATGGTGATTCACCCAACAGCCTTTGAGTGGGATATTACCATCCTCATTTTAGAGATAAGGAAACTGAGGTTCCCAGAGATTTAGTTGATTTGCCTAAGGCCCCACAGATAGTAAGCAGGAGAGCAAGGATCTGGTGCAGCCAAATCACCTTCCACCATGCTCTGCTCTATATGGCTAAACCCACTATTGTCATCTTCTGACCCTTGCCCTGGGAGCACTTGCTAGCACCATCTCCTCTGCTGTTTTTCATCCAGCAGCAGGATTATTTCATCCTCAGTGCCCCATCTCAAAGGGGAGACTGACCTTGTTCTCTATTTTGTGAGAATGCCACTTTCTGATCACCTTCCTCTTCTTGCCTGGGAACTGGGAAGGGCTGAAAACACCTCCTCCCCCACAAGACAGCCCCTGCCCACATCTCCTCTCCCTTGCTCACCCAGACAGTTGTGTCCATCATGTGCCAGGTGGAATCCATCATAGCAGGTGCATCGGTAATTTCCAGGGATGTTGACACAGTCATGCACACAACCTGCATTATCTTCTCGTTCACACTCATCCACATCTGTGAGCAAAGAGGATCTGAGGCAGCTGGACATGCCTCCCACTGTCCACCCCTGTGTTCAGCTTTGTGGTGGTTATGTATGTGTGTGTGTGTATAACCTTCTCTGTGTGTGTTTACATAATTACTTTCATAGCCTGCAAACCATTTTGCATTTTACTATTGTTTATCTAAACTTAAGTCATAAACATTTTCACGTCTCCCCCCGGTCTTTCTAATTACCACTGTACATGGTTGCAGAATATTCCACTGTGTTGCCAAATCATAATTCATTAATCTATTCTCTATTGTTAGATCCCTTCCATTTATTTTACTATTGTAAATAATGCATTAAAGGACATCTCCTGTGTGTTATTTTCTTTGAATTTCCCTTGAGTAGGTTCCCAAGAATAAAATTTCTGGGTCAAAGGGTATAAATACTTTTTAAATTTCCTGCTGGTGTGACAAAATCACTTTTCAATTCATAGTGTCACCAAGAATTAACTAGTGTACCTTGTTCGCTAAAGTGTTACCAACACTGAAGGTCGTAAATTTATTTATTTATTTAAAAAAAAAATTTTTTTTTCAACATTTTTTATTTATTTTTGGGACAGAGAGAGACAGAGCATGAACGGGGGAGGGGCAGAGAGAGAGGGAGACACAGAATCGGAAACAGGCTCCAGGCTCCGAGCCATCAGCCCAGAGCCCGACGCGGGGCTTGAACTCACGGACCGCGAGATCGTGACCTGGCTGAAGTCGGACGCTTAACCGACTGCGCCACCCAGGCGCCCCGAAGGTCATAAATTTAAAATAACATCTCAAGACTGCTTTAATTTGCATTGCTTTAATTATGAGGGGGGAAGAATGTGTTTGTTTATGGTATGAAATTCCCTGGGGGTAAACTGTTCTCATCCTGTGGGTATGGTGTAAGGGTCTAAAGATGGAGGTTCCAATGTCAGGGAGCCTCAGGCCTCAGTCCTGTGATCCTGATTCCCGCCCCCCGGCCAAGCTGTGACGCTGTGAACTATTATTCCCAGCAGAACCTCAGCTAGGCTATATGGTGCCTTTGAGCAAATGAGAAAATGATGCCCTCTCTGGGAAAAAAGTAGCTGGCCAAGCCCCTTCTCCATGCCCGCAGGGACTGCAGGCCTTACTGTCCTGCACAGTGTGGCTAACTCTGGGCAGTGGCACCCATTTCCACACTCAAGCAGGCCCCCCCCCCTTCTCCAGGCATCCTCCCCGCCTCACCTTTGCAGTGTTTACCATCCCCTGTGTAGCCAGACTTGCAGATGCACTTGTACGACCGTGGGGTGTTCTGGCAGATAGCATCAATGTGGCAGTTGTCGGTCCCCTCCACACATTCGTCCACATCTGGCAGGGGCAGAGGAGGCACTTGAGACCCTCTGTCAGTGCATTCCAAGGGGTGTCTTGAAGGTGGTTCCCTAAGGGCAAAATCCCTTCTCCTCTAATGTAGAGACAGTGACCCCTCCAGAAGCAGGTGCTCTTCCACACCCTTCTGATTTCAGAGTGGGCTGACTCTGTAATTTCAGGAATTCAGAAAGAGCCCCCACTCCCCTCAAAAATACTTAATCCACAATGACAGCTAAAATTCCATCATTTGAAACACTTCTCTTTGATTGAAAAACAAACAAAAAACCCTTGGACTGGGTAGCACACTTACCTTGACTAGAAATGTTCAACTTAGCATGAATTAGTTTACCTCACTTCGGAGCAGGCTTAGAGGGAGGGGGAAGAGAAGAGGCATGGGGACAGTGGCCTCTGGAAAAGTGGCAGGGTCCAGCGGCCCTTGGTAATTGAGGGAGGAAGAAAGGAAGGAGAAGGGGCCACCTGAGAAATCCTCATCTGCCTCACAATTCTGCTTGAGACCAGGCCTGCTCCCACTTGCCCATCGTTGTGCGAAGAATCTTGAGAGGAAAGAAGTTCCATCCTGGAAGATTTCCCTCAGACCCTGTGCTGTCAACCGCAGAGGGACTGGGACCTGGCAGGGGCTGGTATCAGCAATCTGAAACCTGATAAGTGGAGCCCTTGTGACTGTCCAGTTGACTCAGGCTCATCAGTCTGCCTCCCTGAACTCTTCCCTCTAACCCAAGGTGTTCCTCTTGCTCCTGGCTCTCACTCTGGCACAAGGTGCTACTCTACTCACAGAGCTATGTTCAAGGAAGAAGCAGCCAAGATCTAGCAAAAAAGAGGATGGTTCTGAAGGGACCTAGGAAAGAGAATCATTGATTGTCTTTGAGCAAAAGATTCCAACTTCTGAGGCAATATTTTGGTGTACATAAAGCTGAGCTAAAATATGGCTAAATGTTGCATTCAGTTGACAATGTTTTATAGGGTGTTTTTATGAAAGGTACTATACTGAAGGCCATGGAGGCTCAGCAGTGACTCGGCCCAGCCAAAAGGAGAGACAAATAAGTAATATGAAGCAGGGTGTGGTTGAGTGCCCCAAAGACATTAGAGAAAAGAGGAGGGGGTCCTCAACCCTGGCTACACATCATCAGAGTAAACTCCCTAGGAGATGCCCAGCACCATCCCCAGAGGTTCTGGTCAACTAGTCCTCAGTATTTTTCTAAAGCTCCCCAGGTGAGTCCAATGTGCAGCCAGGCCTGACCACCTCTATTAAAAGGAAGATCAGAGGAGGAAGAGATTACTTCTAGCTGTGAACTGGGAAACCCAAGTGTATAAGTAGCAATGTGCAAATAAAGAAATGGGATTTGAAATCAAGACAGTGCATGGGGTGCCTGAGTGACTCAGTTGGTTAAGCATCCTACTTCAGCTCAGGTCATGATCTGATGGTTTGTGGGTTGGAGCCCTGTGTTGGGCTCTGTGCTGACAGCTCAGAGCCTAGACCCTGCTTCAGATTCTGTGTCTTCCTCTCTCTCTCTGCTCTCCCCCACTCGTGCTCTGTCTCTGTTTCTTAAAAGTGAGTAAATGTAAAAAAAAAATTTTTAAAGAAATCAAGACAGTGTAGAATTGCCTGGCTTTTGTTAAAATGCAGATTCTCAGGCCTTACCACCAAGCTATGGAATCCAAATCCTTAAGGTGCTTGATTTATTTTTACTGAACCTGAATGAGTGAGTGGAGTAACTGCTCTCAATTTATAGACACCCATGAGCCCTAGCTTGAAACAGTTAATTGTCTTCTGTTTTCGTATTTCGAGAAGTACTTCAGGGGCAAGGACTGAGGCTTCCTGAGGCTAAGAAGAGAACTGGAATTTGGAAGAGTGCCCCCAAACACCCTGCCTCAAATCTTCTGAGCTTCTATTCAGCTCTGCAATCTACCTTCCAACTCTCTTCGACTGCTCTGCAGTCAGCCGTGCTGGGTGATTCTAACTGCCGTAACTCACACTCTTCACCTCATTCAGGCTCTGTAGTCACGGTGTCTGCCTACTGGCCCACCCTGGGAACTCATGGGAAACACCCTGGGAAAGAACAGAGAAGGGGGGCATGAAGACTAGTTCATAAGAGAGGGCAAGAAGGAGCTCTGTAGAAAGTAAGAGCCTGCATGGAGTATCAGTTGGTTCAACTGATGGAGAAAAAATGGTACCAAGAAATGTACTCTCATAAATAGAGCCTAAGCTCTGGAACCAGTCAATCTCAGATTCAAATCCAGCTCTACCTCTCTAGGGAGGCTTTTCTGATTCTCTTATTTCTTTCTCTTCAAAATGGGGATAATACTGCTCATGAGAGTCTGCGAATAGTTGATAAGCTAATTTGTGTAAAGTACCTAATAACATGGCTGGTAAATAATATGTTCCCAATGTAGAGAAGCTGGTTCTGACAACAGATACCCTAGGACTGTGCTGTCTATATGATGGTAGCCATGAGGCACATATGGCTACTTAAATTTAAATTAATTTAAAATTCTGTTTATCAGTTGCATTAGGCCAAATGCTCAATAGCCATATGTGGCTAGTGGCCGCCATCAGTGGACAGCACTTCCAACATCACAGGAAGTCCTATTGGAGCACTGCTCTCAGAATTAAGAAGGGGTACTCTTATGCCCGGGGGGATCAAAAAACTTCCTGAGAAGTGGGATTCAAGTAGAGTTTTGGAGGTTGGATAAACATTTGACAGAAGAAAGAGATTTCAAATGTGGCTAAATGTATGAAGAAAGACAAGGCACCCAGAGGTCCTGTCTTTATTGTCTCTCCCTGCATTTATACACACCCTCCATGGTGGGGAAAGTTTGGTGTGTTTTTTTTTTTTTTTTTTTTAACTAATTCCAATGTTTGAATTGGAGGCTTGGTTTATATATTCTTATTGGGTCCCTGGAGGAGGGGGGACTGGATGATTGATCGCCCCCTCCTTGTGGTGACCCTTGTAAGTCTTCGAGGCTGGCATGGGGCACTGGACAATCCCAGTGGCTAATAATCATCCTGTCTGTCCTGCTTTGAGCCATCTTCTGTTCTTGCCATCTCTTCCCCAGCAGCCAGCAGGGCAGTTTGGAACCCCATCTAGAAGCTCTCCCTCTGGGGCCATCTCAGAGGTACATGCCTATCTCTGAATCCCTGGGTGCTTCGCTGGAGTCTGCACCAGGCTCTCTGGGCTCTCAGTTCTTTCCTTTGCCTCCTGTTCCCTGCTAACTAGTACCAGAGTGCCCCCGGTGCTGATGGCAGCAAACCCAGGCTTCCTGGTAATGCCTTTAGACTCTTCCAGCACCTGGGCTTCTCCCACCATCCTACCCACAACCTCATCTCCCTGCTCAGAGTGCTTCTCCTTCTCCAGCAAAGAGTCTCTGCTCTGGAAGACTTTATCTCCTACCTACTCCCCCTACAACATCTAAGCCTTCTGCCCCCATCCAAGCATTCACACACATCTCCTTCTTCACATTGGATATGCAGTCCTCCCTTTTCTAGCCATTCTGTTCCCAGCTTCCCAAATCTGGCTCAAAATGGTCTTCCCCAAAGCCCTTCCTGGTAAGCCCTATTCCTAAAGAGTTTCAGGTCCAAGAGGACTCCGTTTGCCTCGGCTCACTTGCTGCCATTGCTAAGTTGCTCTGCTAATGCTGAATGCCGTCTCGTCTGGCATGTTCAACTTTCCTCACTTGGCTGGTTATTCACTGAGGACAGGACCCTTCAACCATTTGAATGGAATCTTTTGAAGCAGTTCAGGCCTAAAATAGAGCTCTGAAATAGGGCCCCAAATTATATCCAGTGTCTCCTCCTTTTGCCAGTCCATTCTTTCAGAGCTCCCTTCACCACATCTGCCCACCCACGATTTGTCCATGAAGGGAATCCCTTCAATACCCATGGGAATAGTCTCATTTCAGCTCTGAGGGTGCAAGTATTTTCTACCGACCTGACAAACAATCGATGCTAGTTGGACATGGATTGGTTTAGACTGGTGATTCCCGACCCTGGCTACACACTGGGATTCCCTGGGGGCCTTTTTAAAAATGTGGATATCTAGGCACTCTTCTAGACCAGCTGCATCTGGATTTCCAGGGTGAGGCTGGGCTGCTGTCTGTCTTCCTTTCCCAACTCAGATAATGTGAACAGATCATTTGCCTGACCTGGGAAGACACTGGGCGCAGCAAGATGACAGAGTGTTTGAGAAAAGGGTTTCTGGAGTGATACTGTGTCAGTTCAAATGCCAGTTCTACCAGTGTCTGTGTGGTCCTGGGCCAGCTTCTGAACTTCCCTGCTCCTTTCTCTGTAAATGGGAATCATAATGATAGTGCCTCCTCATGGGGCTGCCATGAACATCAAATTAGTTAATACTAATCAAGTATTTAGCGCTGCAGCACAGGCATATAGTAAGTGCTCAAAAAGGTCCGCCATTTTTATTCCCTCTCTCCAACTTTCTCCTCAGTATCATTTCTGAACCCATCTCTGCTCCTCCCTTCCCCTTATCGGAGCCCCATTTCAGGCCTGGTGTGGGGAAATGCGGCACCGAGAGAGCATGTGATGGTACAGGGAACTTTGGAGAGACACAGCCCTGAAGGTACCTTCTCCACCACCTGCCCCACCCATGCTGGAAGCTGCCCAAGATGGAGGATGAAGTATATAAGAGGCCAGTTTTAACCAAAAAGCTGCTCTCCACAATCCTTTGTGATTGCTATCCATTTGTGCTTTTACCACCACCCCAGGTATGGGGCTGGATCAAAAGCTGAATTGGGGGAGAGTGGCAGCTGCAGAGATACTACAGATAAGACCTCCCTGCCTCACCCTCTCCTGGCATGAATGCATGGGTCTGTAACTGCAACAGCTTTCCCCAGCACCATCTGACATTTCTTCTGGATTTGCTTCAGCACCTAGCAGAAGGCTCCATAAACTCTGCTCAGTATGGGGAGGACGGGTGGGATATGGGGGTGGCGTACAAAGGAGGAGAGGGCAGACCAGAAAGGGTGGA